GCAAACCCCGGGCCGCCACAGCAGAGCACACGCACTTAACTGCTTGCACCACCAGGCCGGCTGTGCACTTAACCACTTGTGCCACCAGGCTGGCCCCTGAAAGCCATCAGACTTTTCCACAGCAACTGTGGGAGTTTCAAGGGAATAGAGCAAACCCTTCCACATCTTGAGGAAAAATGATCCCCACCTAGCAGTCAGGCTCCCGCTGGAGTATCGGTCAGTTATAAGGGTTGATGAAAGACTCAGACACGCAGATTCCCTCTGTCTCTCAGGAGGCTGCTGGAGGAGGACACCACCAGAACAAGGATTTATATCAAAAGCAGAGGACACTGGATCCAGAAAAGGGTGGATGCAGCCTGGAGAGGGGTGATAAGGGTCCCTACGGTGAAGGGGGCAGAGGCCCCTGTGCAGCAGGGCTGGGAGTCAACAAGCCCAGATTGGAGCAGCCAGAAGCTTCCAGAGACTTCTTCAAGATGAAATTAAGGCCGGCACCGTGGCTTAGCGGTTAAGTGCTCGCGCTCTGGTGCTGGCGGCCTCGGTTTGGATCCCGGGCACGCACCAACACACTACTTCTCTGGCTATGCCGAGGCCACGTCCCACATACAGCAACTAGAAGGATGTGCAACTATGACATACAACTATCTACTGGGGCTGTGGGGGAAAAATAAATAAATAAATAAAATCTTCGGTGGTGAACATGATGTAATCTGTGCAGAAATAGAAGTACAATGATGTACACTTGAAATTTTTACAATGTTATAAACCAACGTTACTGCAATAAACAAAAAATTAAAAAAAAAAAAGATGAAATTAAGAATGTGTTTGAATACACAGAAAAGAAAGATTCATAGTTTTGGGAAAGTTTTGAGATAAACTAGTGATAAATGCATAGAAAACTAAGCAAATAGTCATAGATATTTATTGACTGCTGGGAAAACAAAATGATGTATAGAAAAGGAGAGGATTAGTGCCTTTTAAGAGTCATGAGAGAGCTTGCTTCCTCTCTCTTTCCGCCATATGAGGATACAATGAGAAGTCGCCAGTCTGCAACCCAGAAGAGGGCTCTTACCAGAACTCAACCATGCTGTCACCCTGATCCTGGACTTCCAGCCTCCAGAAATATCTCTCCTGGAACAGTCACAACTTCCAAGCCATTCCACTGTTACCTGGGACACGTAGTCCACGCACAATAAATGGCGGGTCAATTAATGCCACGGCTGAGTGTGCGAATGGATATCAGTCTGGCTTGGCCACAACTTAGACAACTCTGGAAGCCACGTGATGAAGAACTGCCATTGGCCAGCCTGAAATGGGGGCAAACCCACCTGGAATTCCCAAGTCGGACCCCAGATGAGCAAGACAGTCATTTAATCAATAAAAAAAAAAAAGAAAAGGAGAGGTATGGAAAAATCACATAGCTCAGCTGTGAATATTTGCATAATTATAAACAATGTATGCTGATCTAACTGAAAGTACCTTATCATATTAGGAGGAAAGGATAAGGGGACGGGATGTGTGCCTGTGTGATAGGGAGAAGGGAAGGGTGTACAAGAGACCCAAATACCCATCATCCATCGTGGGAGAACAGTAGATGCTTAAAACTGAAAAATCAAGAGGTAGCACTATATACATGTTAATTAGAAATATAAAGGTTGGGGCCGGCCCAGTGGCGTAGCAGTTAAATTCACGCACTCTGCTTCGGCGGCCCAGGGTTCGGATCCCGGGCATGGACCTATGCACCACTTACCAAGCCGTGCTGTGGCAGGTGTCCCACATATAAAGTAGAGGAAGATGGGCACGGATGTGAACTGAGAGCTAATCTTCCTCACACACACACAAATATATATATATAAAGGTAAGTACAAAAATAATCAGTTAAAAGTTAAAAAGTGTTGCCTCTGGGGAGCAGGAAATGTTAATGGGAGTTAGAGGCCTTGTATAACTATTTGATTCTCTCAACTATGTGCTCACATAACTTTAATAAAAGCTAAATTAAAAACTATTTTTAAAAAAAGGAACTTGAGAGTCGGTGGAGAACACAGCAGATATAGTCCCTGCCAGCATGGACGTGGAGAGCAAGTATCAAAACCAATAAACACAACAGAACATGTGCTGAGTATTGTTCAT